CCAGCACCACGGTGGGAACCACGGCGGACTCCTCCTCCAAGACTGACGGTTAGATACCTCTGCACCTCTCTCTCTCTCTTCCTCTAGTCTCCCTTTCTAGTTCGTGTCCCAAGATCATCCACTTATTTATCCCGAAAAGAATAGAAATCACCCTCTGATCTACACCTAGACGGTCCAAAGTATACAACAAAGCACGCGCTGTGACTGGCATCCTGGACGGCAACCTGCACCAACGCTCGCTGCACGGCCAGCAGCGCCGGTCCGAGCGGCGGGAGGTCGGCGCAGACGTACAGGCCGTCCTCCGGGAACCGCGCGGTGGCGCCGCAGACAGCCACGAAGGATCTCGCCGCCGCCGCTGCCTGGCGATCGACGAAGGTGCCGCTCAGCTCGTGCGAGAGCTAGTGCGCGCGAAGGCGAAGGTCCTCGTGCGACGCACCCAGAAGGGCCCGCGCGGCGGAGACCGCCACGGCGGAGGGCATCTAGTGGAGGGCGCAGGCGCCCGTCACGGCTGCAGCGGAGAGGTAGTGGCCGCCGCCGAAGAGGCGAGGGAGGTCGACGGGATAGCCGAGGTCCTCGGCGGAGGCTTCGCTACAGCTGCTGGAGTCGTCAACGAGCACGAACTTTATTTCGCTGTGATCTGGGATCTGGGTAGGCTCGAGATGTTGAGCATGCATGTATTGTGTGCCGTATGGGTTCCGCTGCCAGGCGCGAGGGACGGGTTTGGTATTTGTACTAGGAGCCCCCGACCGAGATGTGTGTCGTAATGCTGTTGCCGTTGGGCTGCGTACTTGCGCGATTAATGGGCCTGTTCGCTGGTAAGTGCTGGTGCTGGTTTTTTATGAGAGAAAACACTGTTGGCTGGCTGGTTTGGGCTGGCTAAAACCAACAAGTGAACAAGGTGAATAAGGGCTGTCCCCATGGCATATTAACGTTAGTTTCTAACCCTATTAGTTGTCGTGCCAGGAAAAAAAAGTGACGTGGCAGTCTAATAAATTAATAAATGAAGAAAGAGAGAGAAAATAGATGAAGCCGTTTCTTGGCTGAGAAACGACGTCCTCGCGTCGACCGATGCAGCGAGAAACCGCGACTTCGCCGTTGGGAGGACACGAGTGCTTTCTACGTAGTGGGGCCCGTGACGGGACTCCTCGCGCTCGCCGCTCCGCCGTCCGCGTAGGCCGCGCTCGCCGCGTTGCCGTACGTTCCTCGGGCTGCGCTCACTGCACCGCCGTCTGTCCAGCCGCGCAGGCGGCCGCGCCGGCCACGCTCGCTGCGCCGCTGTCCGTCCAGCCACGCAGACCGCGCCGCCGTCCGTCCAGGCCGCGCAGGACACGCTCGCTGCGCCGCCGTCCGTCCAGCCACGCTGGCCGCGCAGGTCGCGCTCGCTGCGCCGCCGTCCGCCGAGGTCGCGCAGGCCGCTCCGCCGTCCGCGTAGGCCACGCTCGCCGTTCGCCGGGCTGCGCTCACCGCGCCGCCGTCTGTCCAGGCCGCGCCGGCCACGCTCTCTGCGCCGCTGTCCGTCCAGCCACGCAGGCCGCGCCGCTGTCCGTCCAGGCCGCGCAGGACGCGCTCGCTGCGCCGCTGCGTCTGTCCGTCCAGGCCGCGCCGGCCACGCTCTCTGCGCCGCTGTCCGTCCAGGCCGCGCCGGCCACGCTCTCTGCGCCGCTGTCCGTCCAGCCACGCAGGCCGCGCCGCTGTCCGTCCAGGCCGCGCAGGACGCGCTCGCTGCGCCGCCGTCTGTCCAGGCCGCGCCGGCCACGCTCGCTGCGCCGCTGTCCGTCCAGCCACGCAGGCCGCGCCGCCGTCCGTCCAGGCCGCGGAGGCCGCGCTCGCTGCGCCGTTGTCCCCCCAGGCCAGGCCCGCAGGCCGTGCGTTGCTGTGCTCACCGCGTTGCCGCACTCACCGCCCAGGCCGTGCTCACTGCGGAGCATGGGCGGATACAGAGGTATTCCCCGATACCCAACTATTTTAGCACGCTTCCATGTATATATGTATATATACTTGTATATGTATATGTATAATGCCATATTTTATAGTATTTTCACTCATTGAAGCCCAAAACAGTAAAAAAAATAGCCTCTCAAATTAGCTCATATTTTGTAGTATTTTCACTCATTGTATTTAAAAACAACTGATTTTTTTTATTAACGTGGAAGTAGGAATATCCAAGTTTAGAATTCTGGCTCCGCCACTGCTGCGGAGGCCCAGGCTACTCGTGTGCTTGTTCCTTACGAAGAAGACGGATGCTAGTCTGAGCAAAAAGAGTTGGGACTTGTCTGAGAGAGAAAGAGATTAAAAAAATAACAACATTCGTTATACAAAGGTCTCGTTCGCTGGTCTGAAACTTGGCTGAAAAATACTGTTCGACTGAATTGTTGTGAGAGAAAAACACTGTTGGCTGGTTTAATGAACAATGTAATGGGAGGGGAACCAGCCGGCTGAACTTTTCAGTTCGGACCAACGAACTGAGCAAAAGACACTTGCATTATATGGGTTAGTTTTTATGAATAGTTTGTCTGCTATGGAAATTGTGCGTAGTTTCAACCTTTGAAACTGCCCTAATCAAAGCAGAAAAGAAGACGGAAACGCGGTCAAACGGAATAGAGGAGGCACATGCTCTCTTTATTAGGGTGAACGGTTAAGATAAGTATACCGTTCAAATTTGTATTGACTGTTATTCCGATCGATTTTTATTGTTCTGTTCCATCCCGATTTCCATATTTATTCTATTTAAATTTGTATTGAGGTAATTCCGATCATTTTTTTATTTTTTTTGTTTTAGGTAAATGTAAAAACAGGGCGAAAACAATGTTTTCGACCGATTTTGTTTTTTCCTTTTTATTTATACCGCGATACCTTGGTTTCATCTGCATAGGAGCCTTGTCAACTCGTGGTCTTACACTCTCACGGTATGAATTATAATTATTTATATGTTGGCAATGTTGCCATGCTGGATTGATAGATGTTGAAATATAACGTGGGGGTTACGTAAACCCCTGGATTACCATTGTGATAATGTAATTAACCCCTGATTCATTCTTCTAGTCGGCCAAGGGCTCGGGGGCTCCACCCAGGGTGTGCTCGCGCCTCCGTTGGATCTCGACTAAGCCCGCGAGGCCTGAGCCTTCGTCGTCGGGTGGACTGGCCGAGCAAAATTTGTTTGATAATGGGGTAGCACAAAGACAGCCTAGTCCCACGTTGTCCGAGGGCCCTGACTGATCGAATGGAGCTCGGTAGGCCGATTCGGATAAATACCTTGGAGTTCTCAATAGGACACTACCATGCGTTGGGACTCGGGAGCCTGACACTTGTGCAGAGGCACAACACGGTCATCTCTGTCAGGACGTTGTTCCCTTCGCCTTAGTGTGGAGCTGACCGCCCATTTCGAAGAAGGGTCACACTTGGAAGGTGACACAAGGTGATATGGGGGGCGCCTAACCCACACCACGCGCCAGCCACCTAGGGCTCCTCTCCCTCGGTGTGCAATCCCTTGGTGTGCAAGGGACGCTAGAGTGTGGGCAAGCTAGGGATGGGTGGAATGGCGAGCCCTGGTCAACCTTGACAAGCCACTGTCATGTGCAAAATCTACCACGAGCGGTTTCCCATGTTATCGATCATGACCACACTCGGAGCGACGATCTCTTCAATGGCTCGGCAGCGAATAAGACAAAGCCAGAGCATTCCTTTGGTGATCAAGGAAGTTAGAGAAAACCCTAACTTTGTATGCCCTTTCCCCCTCGGAGATATAAAGAAGGGCAAGGTCACCCTTAGAGCTAGACATACGCTCTTCTACTGCTCTCTGGATTGTAAGAACTTGTTTAGAGCAGTCTAACACGAAGAACTCTATGTTGGACGTAGGGCTTCGAAGCCCGAACCAAGATAAACCTCTTTCGTGTCTTGAGTGTTAACCACTGAAGTCCCACGTATTGACCACTAATTACTAGTCGTGGTTACGAACACACGATAGTTGGCACGCCAGGTTGAGGAGCATCATGTATGTTCAACGATCTTCAATATCTCTCCTTGTTTTATGTGCACCACACATATTTTTCCTATTTCTTACTTCCTCCGCCCACAAATTTATTTTTAACAATTATAACACAATAGATATAGGTTAAAGTTTCTTAAGTTTGACTAACTATTAAAATATTAATATTCATAATATCAAACAAGTATCACTAGATTTGTCATAAGGGATAGTTGGTGTCATAAGTATTAATATTTTTTTATCTAGTAGGAGTATATGTTTATTCAAACTTTAGACATGTTAAATAAGAAAATTACATTTCTTTTGTGGACAAAGATAATAATTACATGCCAAAATGTCACGTATTTTGGGACGGAGGAAGTAACTACTTTTGTATAGACTTTTTGTATGATTATACTAATTGTTAGTCAATGACAATAAAGTTTAAATTTTAAAAAATGTGCAGACCTTATATTTCAGGACAAAGAGAGTAGATCCCTACAAAACAGGACTACAGGAGTAGGTGTTGTATGCACAATATGATGTGTCTACGTACATCAACATCAAATTAGAAAATCAGATCTACAAATTCCCCGTGCAGCCGTAGTTGGAGCAGTATAATTTTTCTACCGATCAGCAGTAATCTCACCGAGAGCTAGAACAACGCAGAGAAATTTGATCAATTCATAAAACACAATTCAAGCATTACTACAGTACAGACGACTGACTTGTTGAAACAATAGCACCGTAAGCCTGTTCGCTTGCTCGTAAACGATCTTAAATTTCCAGCCGGGAACAGTGTTTTTCTCTCACACCAAACCAGCCAGCAGTAAATAATCCACAATACGATACGATGTCCCGAACAGCCTATGCCACGTATGGCGGAGAGTACGCCGGCGGCGGAATCAAAATCCATCGCGCCTACATCGACACAGGAAAGAGGAAACTGAAGTGACCGACCGGCACCTCCTAGTACCAGATAGATGGGTCCCGCGCTGTCACGACGCCGGCAGATAACCGCAGTGTCCAAGGTCGATCAGTCCACCCACTTGAGCGCGAAAACCAGCTCAAACTTGGAGCTGTCGAAAACCGCAGGGCCACGACCGTCTCCAGCGTCGCCGTCAACCAGGAGCCGCATCACGAGGTCGACCGCATCAAAATACCAATCGTAGACGGCGTGGCTGGCTTCCTTGGCCGCTACGTGGGTCAGCGCCCGCTGCACGTCCAGCAGCGCCGGCGCGAGCGGCGGGAGGTCGGCGCAGACGTACAGGCCATCCTCCGGGAACCGCGCGGTGGCGCCGCAGACAGCCGCGAAGGGCCTCACCGCCGCCGCCGCGAAGGCGCCGGTCAGCTCGTGCGAGAGCTGGTGCGCGCGAAGGCGGAGGTCCTCGTGCGACGCGCCCAGCAGGGCGAGCGCGGCGGCGACCGCCGCGGCGAAGGGCAGCCAGTGGAGGGCGCAGACGCCCGTCACGGCCGCAGCGGGGAGGTAGTGGCCGATGCTGGAGAGGTGAGGGAGGTCGACGGTAGAGGAGCCGAGGTCCCCGGCGGCGGCGGCTTCGCTGCTGCTGGAGTCGTCTTGGCCGACGAGCACGAACGTCATTGTGCTGTGGTATGATCTGGGTAGGGTTGTGTGCTTGTGTGGTGTGCGCCGTATGGGTTCTGTTGCCAGGCGCGAGGTCTCTGGTATTTGTAGGAGGCCGAGATGTGAGGCTTGATCAGTACTGTACAGCGCCAGGAAAAGAAGCCGGAAAGCCGGGAGCCAGGGGGCAAAGGGCTGCATTGGCGGTCAAAACGGAAAAGATGGAGAGGCGCGCCTCTTTGTAATCTGCGCCATGCGATGCATTGTTGCATTGGGCACTGGGCACCTTGGCCGGTGCAGTTGCAGAACACTGAACAGGAACGGCAAGGTGAACCGTTGGATAAAGATGGCCAACTGAAATGGATCGAGTTCTCATAGGATGAGAGCAATATACTCTCTCCGTTCAGCGAAGAATGCAATTTTAGCACCGTTCCGTAGCTTAGTATTTTAAGTTCGATTAATTCTAGGTAAAAAACATCAAAATTTGGATATCAAATAAATATCATTAGATTAATTATGAAATATATTTTCATAATAAATTATTTTGGAGATGTAAATGTGAATAAAATTCTCTAAAAATTTAGTCAAACGTGATCTACTTTTACCAGCACGCAGCCTGTAGTTGCATTCTTTTCTCGACGAGGCCATACTCCCTCGATTTTAGAAAGACACGTTTCAATCAAACTACAAACAATAACGATACAATCCTTATAAAAAAACAATAACGATACAATTATGACGTCTGTTCACCCTGACGTCTCGCTCTGCTCACTCCCACAGGCTCATTCGTTTCTAAAAAACTCCCGCACGCCTCGCTCTGCTCCGCTTCCGCACGAGGCGCTCGACTGCCAGCCCTACCAGGCGCGACGCGCAGCTACCCTCTCCCAGTCTCAGCATGCGGCCGCTCTGCTGGTCACGGGGCACGGTTGCTGGCCCCTAGCAGGCGCGGGGCACAGCCGCCTGTGAGTCGCGGCTCTCGGCTGTCGGCCCTACCAGGGGCGACGCACAACCCCTGCCTCCGTTCCGCGTTGCAGCACCACCGTTGACCCGTCGCCTACAGGCGTCGCCGAGTTGCTGCCTACAAGCGCCGCTGGGCTACTGCCTCTGGCGAACTCCATATGCCGACGAGCCTTCATTCTCCCAAGTAGCAAGAATATGTTGCGATGTGCTAAAAACACATGTTGCAAGAGTATGTTTCAAGTGTTCAGATGTTTCAGAGGTATGTTTCAAGTGTTTTAGTTGGATGTTGCAAAAGTAGATCGGGATGTTGCATATGTTGCAATGGTTGTACACTTATGTTGCAAAAGTTTGTTCCCAATGTTTAACCTGTGTTTTCGGACGTATTATTGCAAGTGTTTTATCTGGATGTTTTTGTTTGCAATGGTTTTGAAGTGTTTTTGCAAATGTTTCAGAAACCTTCTTTTTGTATGTTGCAAGTGTTGCTTTTGAATATTTCAAAAGTAGATCGGACGAGTGCAACGGATTTCTATCTGGTCGGTGTAGATCAGATTTTTGGTGATGTTTCTCGCCTCCATGGCGGCTAGTGGCGGCGGGCAGACCACGCCCTGCAGTAGCTACTAAGCAGCAGCTTGAGGCAGCTCTTGGACGATGGCTCCGGACGGCGTGGGAAGCGTACTGCAAGCGCGGGAGTCCGAACAAGTAGTACTGAGGTCTTGTTTAGTTCCTCCCCTAAAGTTTACTCCATATCATATCCCATCGAATGTTTGGACACATGCATGGAGTATTAAATATAGACTAAAAAATAACTAATTATCCAGTTTGTGATTAATTTGCAAGACGAATCTTTTAAGCCTAGTTAGTCCATGATTTGATAATGTGGTGCTAGAGTAACATATGTGGTAATGACGGATTAATTGGGCTTAATAGATTCGTCTCGCGGATTACTGACTGATTCTATAATTCGTTTTTTTATTAGTATCCGAACACCTCATACGACACCCTATGTGACACCCGATATGACACTCTAAAACTTTACACCTAAGTTTAAACATGCCCTGAACTACAAATTGCCAGTATACACTGCATGCACTTGTTCTTTCGTAAAAAGAATTCTCCAAATTAATCTGCTATACTGAGACCTTAATCGTGGTACAAAAAAGAAACTTCATGTACATACAGGTACAAAACTCACATAGCAGCCAGTATACATACCAACGCGAATTTAAACTGGACAGTAGCACTTTTCCACTCTTGTATGTAGTGATCGGTCCCCTTGCGGCCTTGCCTCCGACACCCAACAAACCAAGTGCCACGCACCGCGCCAGCCTCCTCCGATCCCCCACCGTGAAAAAGAGCCCTCCGATCCGATCCAATTCCTGGCGCCCCGGCTGTCGTCCTCATGTGAATAGGTCGTACTTCACCGGCGTGCCTGTGGGGTCGATCCAGGGCTGGGCGTGCAGGAAGTTCTCGACCGTGAACTTGGTCGCGTCCGCCTTGCTGATCACCTTCTTGAACCCCGGCCAGTTGACGCGCCCCGCCGTGCTGGCGCCGGGCCCGGTGTTGCCGAACTCGGCGTACCACAGCGTCTTGAGCCCGAAGTCGCCGTTCCAGGGCAGGTACCCTGCCTTGTCGATGAAGTCCGGGATCTCCGACTCCATGAAGATGGTGCGCGAGCACTCGCGCCACGGCCGGCCCAGGTAGTTGCGGATGGCCGGGCGCCCGGCGTCCCGGAGCGCGGCCTCCGCCTGGAACTCGCACTTCTGGAGCACGAACCCCGTGGCCTCCCGCGCGTCCGCACGGCCCTGCGCGGTCACGATGTTCTGCTGGTTGTCCATTGGGCGGCGCAGGATGAGGATGCAGTTCTGGAACACCGCCGCCGCGTCGCCGAAGATGAAGTCCACGGTGCCGGAGATGATGCAGTTGCGGTAGAACTGCGCCTTGGAGTGCGCGTACAGCGTGTCCTGGAACCCGTCCATCTTGCAGTTGAGGAAGATGGCCTTGTCCGACTGCACCAGCAGCGCCACCGCCTGGTGCTTCTCCGCGCCGGCTGTGTTCTGGAACCCCATCCCGATCGCCATGAACCCGTCGCCTTGCGCAGCTATTCGTACCAAACGGCGCGTCAGTTGATAGAATTTGTCAGCTGATTGATAGAGCATTATTATCCGTCGCCGCGCCATGATGCACGGCGTCGTCGTCCTTACTGAAGGTTGCTGTCTTGAAAGTCGTGATCCCGTCGGCGAAGCTCTTCTTGCCGGTGACGATGGACTTCTTGGAGCCGTCACCTAAGAGGGTCACGTTCTTCATCGTCTTGGTGATGGTCACGTACTCCTCGTACATCCCCTCCTTCACTTGGATCACGTATCTATCGGAGTACGATTCACCAACAAGTTATAAATATGCGTGGCCGCCACTCGTCAACCACTGCACTGCACTGCACTGCACCACCAGCCACCTTGCGTGCATGGATGCATGCACACGACACGACACGACACGACGCCCAGCGCACTATATATACCTTCCGTCGTAGGTCTTTGGCATGGCGGCGAGCGCCTCGGTGATGGTCTTGAACTTGCCGCTGCCGTCCTTCGCCACCACCACATTCGGCGTGAGTGTGTTCTTGAAGCCGCCGCCCTTGAGCACCCTCCGCTCACCGTCGGGCACCCACTCCGGGATGCCGTCCTTGTCGAGTGCCGGCCCGGCTTGCGACGCCGACGCCGCCGCGCCTTCCTCCTCCTCGAGCAACCGTCGTTTCGAGCCGCCCTTGAGTACGGAGAGGAGCGATGACCCCTTCTCGATGAGCGCCAGGGCGTTGCTGGTGAGCTCCTTCCCGTCGGTGAACGACTCCTTCACCTTGGCCTTGAACTCATCGTCGGGGAACCCGTCGACGCACGTCTCCATGTTGGCTATCACGGCGCTGAGCCAGATGCGCAGCTGGTAGCTCTGCTTGGCGATGCCGTCCTTGTCGTCGACGCCCTTGAGCGTGCTGTTGAGGTCGTCCTTGGCGTCCGCGAACACCTCCTTGCAGTCGGCGACGGCGGCCTTCACGCGCGGGTCGTTGCTCAGGATCAGGTCCGCGCGGTCGAACGCCTGGCTGATCGCGTTGCCGATCACCTCCACGGCGCTGCGGACGATGTCCTTGGGGGACGACGAGCTGGCGTTAGCGGCCTTGCCAAGGCTCTTCACGCACGCGTCCGTGTAGTCTGTCTGCGAGCACATCGCCTTGATGCTCTTGGACACGGCCTTCAGATCCGTCTTCGGCTTCGCGTCCGACACCGATTCCGCTTCTGCTTCCGAGTCCGAGTCCGACCCGCCGCTGGACTTGCCTTTGGCCGGCGACGACGTGCTCTTGGAAGCAGACTTGTGGCCACCGTCGCTGGACGACTTCTTCCCGCTGTACATGACCGCGGCGCTGCCCATGACGATGAGTATGATGATGATGGAGACGGTCCCGGCGGCGATCATGATGCGTCTGCGCTGCTTTCGCGCATTCTCGGCGCGGCGGCGCTCGGTGAGCGGACCGAAGTCGCCGAACGCCGACGACGACATGGTCGGAGCTGTTTTTCTAGTCTTTTTTTAGGGCAAAAATTTCGTGTTTTATTGACCGCTTCCTCCTGGCCGTCACCCTCTGCCTTCCATCACCCAAGGCAGAGAGGATGGAGCAAGGGCGGGAGGCAATGCCGAGACAGGTTTATTTGGGGAGTGTGGATTCCGGGGAAAGAAGGGCGGGGAGACGTTTGTGGAGGCTATGTTTGGGAGTTCGTTTGGATTCATTTTGCCACGCCAACGAATATAACCATGGTGCAACAGTCTATTTTTATGGTACATGGAAGCAACAAGAGTCGGTATAGCACAACAGAACTAGGGTCCCCGTATGTTCACTTCATCAAAATTTCTAAAAGATAAAACATATCCATGTGTGTGCTGCCACTCAAAACCAAAATTAGATCAAGGATCTTAACCTGTAGCACCGTGGTTTCACTGCACAACATTTTATCCAGTACGTGGCAATATGACTTGAAGTGCATAGTGTAAATTTGCGTCCGGAGGTACTGATGAGATATTGATGAGATATCTTAGAAGCTCTCTACGGATGGTGAATCTATACTTAATAATAAAAAGATAAAATTTTCGCCGTATTTTTTTCCTGCCTCTTCCTCCCCCAATCACCGGCTCGGTCTCGGTCTCGTTGCCAACACAGATTAGGAGTAGGAAAGAGAATAGAAAGAAATATGATATTTTAGATGTAAAGATACTAGAGAGAAAGAAAATATAGGAGGACCTTAATAATTTTTAAAATATATCAGGGTTCCTAATGCAAAATGTCCAGATCCGAGTGGGCCTCTCCTGGTGGGCTTCTTTTTCGACCTAGGTTGAATCCTTGTAGTTGGGCCCGCTTCGTTGTGGGCTGGACCAAGCCCATGCAAGCCTTTTTCCTTTTCTTTTGTTTTTCTCTTTTTCTATAAAAACAGAGATATTGCAAAATTCGCCAAAATCATAGAAAAATCATAAAAATGCCAAACCAGTTTTGCAGCACAACTATATTTCATGAACCGGAAACTTCGCAGATTATTATCTAATGAAATCTATACAAATATATTTATGTAATTTCTGACGAGGACTGCCGTCTAAAAATTTAAGAGAGGTCTCAATCACTAGTGGACAGATAAATCCTTGACACATTGACAAAAAAAATTGCAGAGGTTGATATGATGCATAAAAAAGCTACAAAGGTCGATATTGAGTCATAGAAACACATGTGTATTACGAAAAATTAAAGTTATGATATACTTATAGCTAAATAATTATGTGCTTTGCAATGAAAGGAAAAATATACCAAGGTGTATTTCAATTTGATACAGGTTTAGTAAGACATTGTTATTTATTGTTAGCATTAACTTATATTATGGATGTCACGGTCATCATAAAAATAAATTATAAAAGGATAAAATATAATTAGATATGTACAATTCACATCATCATTTTGCATGAATGCTTGATAGTTTTTTTTTTCTTCCGTTGCAACGTACGGGCATATTTGCTAGTATTCTATAAACTCAGGCACTCAGCAGCTTGACTTCTCAGGAAATGAGCATGAGACTTTTTATGGGACAGAGGAAGTATATTAGTAATTTAGAAGTATATTTGAGGGTATATTTTAATTTATTTTGGTAAATATTTTAGTGATAGAGAAGTGGCTACTTCATATGCTAATTTAAGGAATTATTTAGATTATCTATCGTAATGGCTGGGTGGATTATTTTAATGAAAATGGAACGGTTACTTTAAACAACGTTTAATAATAGTAGAGGTAGGTAACTTAGATGCAAATTTAGGGTTTTACTATATTTTGTTTTTTTATAACGGTGAGGTGGGTGAATTTTTTTAGAAATCAGAATAGTACCAATGAAGACACATAAAAAATTAACTATTAATGTTGATTATCTCTCGAGTTATCTGTGCACACATCATACGCTTATCGTCGTAATAATGCTCCCTCCGTTCGAAATAAGTTTAGAGCAAGCTAAATACTCCATCCATTCTAAATCAAAACTATAAGACGTTTTGGGTTTTTAATTTTTGCTATGCACTTAGATATACGCTATGCCTAGATACAAAATAAAAACAATATACATAGAAAAGTCAAAACATTTTATAATTTAGAACAGATGGAGTACTTCAAAATTTAAACTAATTAGTTTGTTATGAATGTCATACATTTTAAAAACGGTGGGAGTAGTAACATGGTCCACTAACTATTTTATTTGCACAACAGCACACAAGAGGAGTCAAGCTTGAGCTAGCTTAGGTAGAATAAGGAACTTTAACCACTCAATATATATAGTCTGGAAAACCGAAAGCATCATACTAACACGATGCATTACAAATCCTTGTACATGTATACATAATAACATCTAGAGTTGTTCGCCATAAATAAATTATGATGACGCGACGTAAGCGTGTAGTTCTATGTTATTTATCAACCATTCAACCTTTGAGATATCAGGCCAATATAACGGTGAGCACCCATGATCATTACTATATTGTTACTTCTAGTAAGAGGGAGAAAAGCACCAATTGTAGCTCGATCAGGTTACTGGAGTCTGGAGTTGCAGTCAATCACTCAGGAGGGCAAGGCCCGATCTTGGGTTGGTTGGAATCATGCGTGCAGTTGGAGCTCCCTGCAGACTTTCCTTCGGCTACCGTCGGAATGGACTCCGAGACAGGAACGCGGTGGCCTCCCTCGCCCTGCAAGCGTGGCGCCGCGACGACGGTGCCGCGAGCGGAAGAAGTGGCCAAAGTGATGATCATCAGAAGCGTCAGAGCCATCGCGGCTGCCGCCGGCTTCCTCCTTGCAGCTTCCATCTCGTCTGAGTTGTCGTCTCTCAGGTACGTATATATAAATGTACGAGGTATATGTGGTATGAACTTGATCACTAATGATGGATGGTGGTTGTGAACTGAGAAGGCTAGGGTACACAGGCGCCGCTAAATTTATATACGCGAATGGGCATAGATAGCTAAATTGCAACGATCTCATGTAGTTCATTGGTGTTGCCCTGTAGACGGTCTTACGTATGTAGTGCCACGTAATTTTAAGATGACTTAATATATAATATATGCAATGGTCATTTTAAAGTTGTCTCATAGTAATTCATAATTCCTTAATTTATGCATAAAATAAAATTAAAGTTGTGAGTTATATGGCAACAACAACTCATACAATGGTATAATAGTTGTCTCATAGTCCTAAATTTTGGCTCTTGAGACGGTTGTTTCACGAAGCAACGACCTCTTTCTCTCTCTCCTCTCTCTTTCTTCCACATCAGAAAAATCCTAGGTGGTATTGCATGAGACGAACTATGAGACCACTTGTAGCACCCGGTTTTAAGAATAAAACCAGATACGCACCATATGTGAGTCCAGGAAGTCAAATCTCACATATAACTACAAATAAAGGTAATATCGAAAGATAATGCTCAAAATATAACGTACTTAGTATAAAGGATATAACATTAGACAGCAAACAGCGAAAAAACAACTCCGATCTTCGGGTGAAGACTCTAATTCCACAGGGATAACTGACTGATTGATCACATGCCTAATTCCTCCAAACTCAAGCAATCTGGTACCATCCGAGATTTTTCCAAAGATTTAAAAAGTAAAGCAAGCGTAAGCACATGTCGTACTCAATAAATATAATATGGTGTTTATGAGGCTCAAAAGACTGACACTGTTTTAACTACGATTAGTTTTTAATTATCATAATTTTAGCATAGGAGTAGCAACAAGTTAATCACAAGCCCATATAAACACATGATCAGGTAAACATGAATAATGAATAGCATAAACAGTAATCATTAATAAGTATCTTCATCATCCGTATCATTAGTGTTCGTCATCTATTCCGTAAGGGTCCAAGGCCGCTCGTGACCGTAAGCACGGTGATATACCAGTTTTACACTCTGCAGAGGTTGTACATTTTCACTTTAAGTCGTGATTTACCCTTTCGTTCGAAGTAGCTAATCTCTTGACCCACTTCCAAAGAAGATCGATAGGGTTCACTATGAAGCCTTTTAAAGGTTCGTCTAACAAGTTAGGGCTATTAGATTCACTCGGCAAACAAATATAGGAACCCCCGTCGAATGACACAATGACACGTAGCCTATACATATAAGAGTAGAGAATGTCCTATACCCGATTCGTCAAGCCATTCTTATGCCATAAAGGTAACCTATAGCAAGCTAAAAAGGTCCTCATACTGAGCTAAAGCCAGAGCCATGTAGCCCTCACAGTTGTACTGTAAGTCCCGGATGTTCGTTTACAGATAAGTCCATAGCGAGAGGAATCTAGAGCACCATAAAAATAGCTCAATGCTCTAGCCCCCCGATTCTATGTTGCTAAAAAGCGTCTTTTAATGTTTATTGCATATACCATTAGTCAAATTACAAGATCATGGTCTTTAATTGAACACTAGCATCATACTACCTAATGCAATACCCCATAGGTAACAAGGCACAAGGTAACAAAAGCACTAGAAAATCCATAGTGGTAATCAAGGTAGACACATGCAGTATGAATTAAATGATTAAAGTGAATAAGACAACAAGGAAGATCCCATGCTATACTTGCTTTAAACTTATATCCTTCTTCTATTGATTCGTAGCCTCCAAAGAGCTGCTTCTTGATCACCACGCAAAACTCACTGACTGGATAAGATCATAAAGGACCACACAAGCATCCATACAATCATATACGAAGCAAACAATAGAACTAAATTAGAACAATACATCAATCATAGAAAAATAAGTAAAAGAGTTTGAAACACGATTCTATGCATCGCTACGAACACACAGTCGCGAGAGGCACACTAATTGAAGCTACGGTGAACAAGGTACAACTACCGATATATTTGCTTTTATTCGAGAATAAGAAAAACTACAAACTCCATTTATTTTAACATATATAAGATACTCCAGAGAATTATCTAAATTGTATTAAGTCATATTTAGATTTAAATCTGAAAATCAGAGTAGAATAAAGCATAT